TGCTGCTGCTGTTGCAACAGCAGTAGGGAAGGCAGGTAAAGCGCTGCCCCCTCGAATTTGCAGTAGCCATTAGGGTTTAGGGTTTAGGGTTTAGGGTTTACGTTGTCTATGATGATAGGACAGCGAAAAATTGTGCCTCCTAATGCATTTCTAATTGTAGCGTTAGGCGACTTCCACATCTTCTTCAACCCAAACTCTGCGCCACAAACCCTAAACCCTAAACCCTAAACCCTAAACCCTAAACCCTAGATCTTATACACTGAATTGTAAAGAATAAGCTCGAAGCTGTAGACAACAACAAACCCTAAACCCCAAACTCTTAACCTTCAATGCAAAACCAACGTCGCTAAACCCTAAACCCTGATTTCTAAACAAGAGGCTTAAACCCTAAACCCTAGACCCTAAACCCTAAACCCTTAGCTCTGGTGTGTATGCTGACCCTGTAAAACCAATTTTGCGTGCATTCTACATTATGTTTCTTAACGCCTTTAGGGTTTTACGGTTTAGGGTTTAGAGTTAAGGGTTTAGGGTTTAGGGTTTACCTTTAACTCGCGCTTCATCAGGAGTAATGGTTGCACACTTAACCCCTACTTTATGTTTTTTAATTGCTTGCGCAGCCTCAAGTGTCACGGCGTCGTCCGTTTTATCTCTGTGCTGTATGCTCAGGTCAAAGTACTCAATAGGGAGGTCTAAGTACTTCATTATCAGCTGCACACACACAAACCCTAAACCCTTAACCCTAAACCCTACACCCTAAACCTTAAACCTTAAACCCTAGACTCTAAACTGTAAATCGTAGAACCGTAAAGGCATTAAGAAACATAAAGTACGGGGTTACAGCGATGCTATCACACCTGATGAAACCTGAGGGATATGTAAACCCTAAACCCTAAACCCTAAACCCTAAACCCTAGACCCTAGATACGAGAGTAGCAGAAACAACTGAATAGGTGTATACAACCCCAGCACACAACACATATATACATATACATACACATGCATTACCTACATCATGCTTTAGACTATAGGGTTTAGGGTTTAGGGTTTAGGGTTTAGGGTTTAGGGTTTAGGGGACCTTCTCCTTAATCCAATGCCACATAACGCGGGCCATTTCATCGCCATCCATCTCAACGATGGGGTTCTCTACTTTTATCTTTTTTATCTGCATCTTCTAAACCCTAAACCCTAAACCCTAAACCCTAAACCCTTGATGGTATTCACTGATATGTGCGAGAATACGCTTCTGTAGACCCTAACTGCTCTGTATTTGCTGCATATACACCCCAATTCTGTTGCTGCTGCTGCTGCTGCTTCCTGCTGTCGCCAGCAGCTGCTGCGCGCCCGTTGCTGCTGTCGCTGCTGCTGTCGCTGCTGCTGCTGCTGCTGCTATGGCTGCTGCTGCTGCTGCTGCTGCAGTTGTTGCTGTCTTCTTCTTGTAATATAGACAGCAAACTGTTTTAATGCTGCTCTTTAAACAATACAAAACCCTAAATAACAGCACTGAGGTGTACGTACACCAGGGGGGGCTTCCTCAGACACAAACTCCAAGCGGGCTCTCTCGCTGTCTCTACTAAACCCTAAACCCTAAACCCTAAACCCTAAACCCTAAACCCTAAACCCTAAACCCTAAACCCTAAACCCTAGAATTAGGTAATTAGGATGTTAAGACTTAAAATGAATTTATTTTTATTAACGGCTCTACTAAAGACAGCTGCAAAAAAAACCAAAGGGCACCCTGCTGCAGACAGCAGCAGCAGCAGCAGCAGCAGTAGCAGCAGCAGCAGCAGTAGCAGCAGCAGCAGCACAGATGGCCGAGAAGGAGCAGCAACAGCGCACAGACAGCGCTGGGGATGGCGCTGTAAGGCGGTGGTGCTGCTGTTGCTGCTGCAGTTGCTGCTGTTGCTTCTTGTGTTGCCGCCTGTAGTGCTGCTACATGTGCTTCTGCTGCTGCTGCTGCTGGGTCTCCTCTTCACTTCGTGTGTCTCCTGTTGCTGCTGCTGCTGTTGCTGTTGCTGCTGCTGCTGCGCATCTTCAGGAGGCAAAGGCTTCTTCTTGGAATCCCAACTCGTCTCACTGGTGCTGCTGCTGCTGCTATTGCTGCTGCTGCTGCTGTTGCTGCTGCTGCTGCTGCTTGTACTGCTGTTGCTGTAGCTATTCCTGCTGCTGCTGCTGCCTCTCTTTGCTGCTGCTGTTGCGGCAGCAGCAGCAGTGCTTTCTTCGGTTGCTTTGTTGTGTGGCTGTGCTGCTGCTCCCTCTGTGCTGCTGTTGCTGCGGCCTTATATGCCTGCTGCTGCTGCTGCTGCTGCTGCTGCAGGGAAGAGAAGCAGCTAACCTCCTGGTGTATCACCACCTTGGAGCAGCGGCTGTCTGAAGCAAAATTAATTTTATTAGAGGGATCAGCGGAGTTAACTTTCTTCAATGTTAAAGTCAAAGGCGAGGTAAACCCTAAACCCTAAACCCTAAACCCTAGGTAGCATTAGCTGATTAGCGCAAGAACTCGCATCTGTACACCTTAAACGCTTCGTATTTGCTGCATATACACCTCAATACTGCTGTTCCTGCTGCTGCTGCTGCTGCTGCTGCTGCTTCCTGCTGTCTCCAGCAGGTAAGAAGCATATACATATAAACATATATATAAACATATATATATATATATATATATATATATATATGTATGCACAGGCGAACTTGAGTTATAAACGAGAGAAGAAGATAATATTCTTTGAACTAAAAATCGAAGCAGATTGGCGGGCAACGGCGAGAGACGCTAACGGCATCTTTCTTGCGAGTACAGACAGCATCAACGAACTGTCTCCTTTTGTCTTTGTTTAAACGAACTGTCTCCTTTTGTCTTTGCTTGCTTCAACTGTCTCCTTTTGTCTTTGTTTGCTTGCTTAAACGAAGTGTCTCCTTTTGCCTTTGGTTGCTTGTTTAAACTGTCTCCTCTTGTCGTTGGTTGTTTGTTTAAACGAACTGTCTCCTTTTGTCTTTGTTTAAACGAACTGTCTCCTTTTGTCTTTGTTTGTTTGCTTCTCTCTGTCTCTTTTTGTCTTTGCTTATCTGTTGCTGTCTCCTCTTGTCTTTGTTTGTATGTTTAAACGAACTGTCTCCTTTTGTCTTTGATTGTCTATTGCTGTCTTCTTTTGTCTTTGATTGTTTAAACTAACTGTCTCCTTTTGTCTTTGTTGCTGTCTCCTCTTGTCTTTGTCTCTTTGTTTTTTGCTGTCTCCTTTTGTCTTTGTTTACTGCTGTCTGTCTCCTTTCGTCTTCCTAATAAATAAAATAAATAAAAATAAATAGAAGGCAATAAACATAGCAAATAAACAAACAAATAAAACAAATAAACAAATAAATAAACAAAATGAACAAATAAACGAACAAGCAAACAACTAAATAAATAGATAAACTAAACAAATAAATAAATAAATAAATAAATAAATAAATAAATAAATAAATAAATAAATAAATAACTCCTTTTGTCTTTGTTTGCTTGCTTAAACGAAGTGTCTCCTTTTGCCTTTGGTTGCTTGTTTAAACTGTCTCCTCTTGTCGTTGGTTGTTTGTTTAAACGAACTGTCTCCTTTTGTCTTTGTTTAAACGAACTGTCTCCTTTTGTCTTTGTTTGTTTGCTTCTCTCTGTCTCTTTTTGTCTTTGCTTATCTGTTGCTGTCTCCTCTTGTCTTTGTTTGTATGTTTAAACGAACTGTCTCCTTTTGTCTTTGATTGTCTATTGCTGTCTTCTTTTGTCTTTGATTGTTTAAACTAACTGTCTCCTTTTGTCTTTGTTGCTGTCTCCTCTTGTCTTTGTCTCTTTGTTTTTTGCTGTCTCCTTTTGTCTTTGTTTACTGCTGTCTGTCTCCTTTCGTCTTCCTAATAAATAAAATAAATAAAAATAAATAGAAGGCAATAAACATAGCAAATAAACAAACAAATAAAACAAATAAACAAATAAATAAACAAAATGAACAAATAAACGAACAAGCAAACAACTAAATAAATAGATAAACTAAACAAATAAATAAATAAATAAATAAATAAATAAATAAATAAATAAATAAATAAATAAATAAATAAGTTATTTGTTTATTGTTTAGGCTCTACGGGCAATGTCTTAGTTGAAGAGTTTAACGAAGACTGTCTCCTGAATCAGTCTCCTTCTGTCTCCTTTCAAGGAGACGGACGCTTGGCGCCGCAGCAGCGTATTGATGCAGCAGCAAAAACAGAAGGCAAGCAGCAGCTGCTGCAGCTGCTGTCTCTCTTTGCTAAAGATATCAGCGATAAAGCTTAGTAATAAACCGTCCTCCTCCACCTGCTGCAGCAGCTGCAGCAGCAGCTGATGCTGCTGCTGATGCTCCTGCTGCTGCTTGTGCTGCACCAGCTGCTGCAGCTGATGCTGCTGCAGATGCTTAAGCAGCAGCTGATGCTGCTGCAGATGCTTAAGCAGCAGCTGATGCTGCTGCAGCAAAATGCAGCACGTGTTGCTGCAGGTGCAGCAGAAACAGCAACAGCAGCAGCAGCAGCAACAACAGCAGCAGCAGCAGCAGCGCGGATACATCAATAGAATCATTGTTTGTTTTTTTTGCGTTTTGTTTGGCGCTGGCGCGACTAGAGAAATACAAATTTAAGTCTTTATAAAGAAAATAAATATTTTATTACTTCACCTTTATATTATAAAACGCAGGGTCAGAACTACAGCTAGTTACAGCTAGCTGTAGCTAGCTGTAACTAGCTGTAGTTAGGGGTATTTAGCTGCAGCTAGCTATAGCTAGCTGTAGTTAGCTGTAGCTAGCTGTAACTAGCTGTAGTTAGGGGTGGCTAGCTGTAGCTAGCTGTAGCTAGCTGTAGCGAGCAGTAGGAGGGGCTGAGGGGCATCGGATTTGCTGCTCTTCATGAAAGCCCGTAACGAGAGAAGCAAATGAAGAGAAGCAGCAGCAGCAGCAGCAGCAGCAGCAACAACAACAGCAGCAACAACGGCAACAGCAGCAACAGAAGTAGCAGCAGCAGCAACAACAGCAGCAGCAGCAACCGCACCAGCTGCAACAGCAGCAGCAGCAGCAACGGCACCAGCTTCAACAGCAGCAGCAGCAACAACAACAACAACCGCAGCAACAGCACTTGCTCTCCCTTTGTTTAAATAATAACTCAAACAACACACATGGTGCTAGTGTTTAGGGTTTAGGGTTTAGGGTTTAGGGCTTAAGGTTTAGAGTTCAGGGTTTAGGGGTTTTGGTTTGGGGTTTAGGGAATAAGGTTTAGGGTTTAGGGTTTAGGGTTTAGGGTTTAGGGTTTAGGGTTTGTGAAGCCCCCTATATGTATGCGTCGAGGGAGGCTGCATGCGCCGCATAGGAGGGGATGCCTCCTTTATTTAATTTATATAAATTATATATTTATTTATATTTTTATTTTATTTATTTATTTTAAAATTATTTTATCTAATTGTAGTTTGTCCTCCTCATGGAAGTGTAGCAGCAGCTGCTGCCGACATCCCAGCAGCGCCGCAGCAGCAGCTGCTCAGACAGCTGCAGCAGCAACAAATGCAGCAGCAGCTGCTGCTGCTCCTACTGTAGCAGCGATAGCAGCAGCAGCGGCAGCAGCAGCAGCAGCAGCAACATCAGCAGCTGAACCGAGATCTCAATGCTGGTTGCCCGTGCTGCTGCTTGGGGGCCCCACTTGGGGGGCCCCTCAACAGCAACAGCAGCAGCAAGGCATGCTCAGTTTGCTGCTGCTGCCGCCTCAGCAGCAGCAGCGCCAACAGCAGCAGCAGCAGGAACGGGAGGCTGTTGCTGCTGCGGTCTTCCCCGCCGTTTCAGTTCCGTAGCAGCAGCAACTCATCCCCGCACATCCACTGCATCTGCATGCAGCAACAGCAGCAGCAGCAGCAACAACACCAGCAGCAGCAGCAGCACCAGCAGCAGCAAGAGGCCCAAGCCAAGTCGCCATTTGCTGCAGCTCTGTGAGTCGATTGTCTCTCTCTCGCAGCAAGAAGCAGATGCCTTCTCAGCGGAGGTGCGGGCCCGCCTCACCCCTGCTGCAGCAGGTGCCCCCCAAGCAGCAGCAGCAGCAGCAGCAGCAGCAGTACCTGCACCAGCACGGCAGAAGCCTTTGCTGCCTATCTGTCCCTTCCCTCACCCTCTGGGTCTCTTCTTAGGGGTGTCTCCTTTGAGGGCCCTGGGTGTGGGGCCCCACACCCCTATACCCCTGGGAGCCGCTCTTATTGCTGCAGCACAAACCCTAAACCCTAAACCCTAAACCCTAAACCCTAAAGGCATGCAGGCGTGCGCGTGCAGTGTAAAGAAAGTGTATTCGCGCCTTCATCCTCATGCTGATGCTGCTGCTGCTGCTGCAGCTGCGGTGTACGCTGCAGCAGCTGCAGCAGAAGTGGCAGTGATAGCAGTTGCAGCAGCAGCAGCTGCTGCTGCTGCAGTTGCGAATGCATCTTCTAACCAATTGCCCGAGGCACTGCCTTCCTCTCTGAACCATATCACCGCCTAGCTAGCTAGCTAGCTAGCTAGCCACCTAGATAGCTAGCCACCTAGATAGCTAGCTAGCTAGTCGTATAGGGTTTTGAGGGGTGAGAAGGCGGGTAGAGACAAATAAGGGGCCTCTGGGCTTCGTTGTGATTTCTAAGAGGTGCTGCTGCTGTTGCCGTTGCTGCTGTTGTTTGCTGCTGCTTCTGCTGCTGCTGATGTTGCTGCTGCTGCTGTTCTCCGCAGCAACGGGTGTTGCTGTCGATAGGAGAAATAGAAGAAAGGAGGCAGTCGTAGACCCTAAACCCTAAACCTTAGCTTGTATTCAGTTCTACAAACCCTAAACCCTAATCTGTTTTAGGTGAGACGCAAATACACACAAACAAAACCCTAGCCTACTGCTGATTGCTGCTCTTACATAAACATAAATATAAATATAAATATAAATATAAATATAAATATATGTAAAAGATATAATATATTGATAATATATGTATGTATATATATTGTGTTTATTATATATACTAACAACAAAAGGAGACAACACAAGAAGAATGAAGAGAATAAATAAATAAATAATAAAGAAAGAAAGAAAACGAAAAGGAGACAGGCAACTCGCAGTCGGGAGGAGGAGACGCATCGTTATACAATTTACAACATTGTTGTTCTTGCTGCTGCTGCTGCTGCTGCTGCTGCGGCAGCAGCAGCAGCAGCAGCAGCAGCACATTGGGTTGAGGTTCGCTGCAGCAG